AGCGTAGGCATGTGCCTCATCAACGGCGTTAGCAACATTGTTAAGAATGCATTCATGAGGAAGATTAGTATACATGGTAGTAAAAATCGACCGTATGAGGGACCAGACCTCGAAGAGATGCTTTATTATTTTTTAGGTCAAGCATGACCTCGTCACTGCTCTCAACAATCCAACATCGTCGAATGCCTTCGCGTTGAAAAAGCTGATTATCTTTTTCGCGAAGAGTGCAAATGACGCCTTGAAGTGCCGCACTCAAACGAGCCGAAGTTGCTGTTGTGCTAGCAACAGGCTTGTGAGGCGGCCGGTGATGCAAACGCTGGACTCGTTGGGAAGGGTGCAGGTCATTTTGCTGGGCCATATGAGAAGAAGAAAGGTTGTTACGGGAAGTGATACCAAGAATAGTTCGGAGTGCAGGGGGAGACTTATGGGCCTTAAGCGCGCAATAGAGATATGGCAATGTGTCAGCATGAGGGTAATTCCAATGATTGTTCCAAAGTGCATGGCGATTCAGAATATCAGCCACTATTTCCGTAGGCCGGGAATATGTAGGACTGTCAAGATGAGTAGAAAGATGGAAACGATACCAGTCCTTGCAACAAATCGCCAAATTATGTGATGTCTTGTCCATAGGAACAATCGCAAAGGAATCTTGAAGCTGACGCAGAGCCACATGTGCGTGTCGCAGCGCGCGGGGTTGCCGAAAAGGTATTGCAGTAGTCATATTGGACTCACAATGGTGCAAAACTGCGGCACGCCAAAGATGCAATTGGTGCGCAAGGGTAGCAGCGGAGGATTGTCGTGATGACGGCCGAAGGTATGCAGCGATATACTCGTCAATACCAACAGCYAGTGCCTCAAGTACATCCCCTACTGCCCCATTCAGCCGATATTTAGAGCCCTCATAGAATAGACGCCGAAGATTAGCATCCGGAATCAGATCATAGTTGGCGGAAACAACATGGTCGTCAACCAAATCGGTGCAATTAGGAAAGACCCGGCGACATGGACAGYCAGCAGCAGCAGGAAGGCATAGGCCCGGAGTAACACTCAAGGCAACCTCCGTAAAGTTACAAAATTGCACCCTTGTCGGGGGTACAAGTTTATCACAAATACGAATAGTGCTGGCTGCATGGGGGTCCGGGTGCAGTGCACACACGCCTGGAGAGTGCAACACCTGTCGCAACTTTGTGACGTTTAGAACCTCGTGCATATGGACAATCCTAATATAGTTTCCGAAGCTATCACGGGGCCGAGCAGTATATCGCTGTCGGACATGTTGAGATTGTCGAATAAGACATTCAAGTTCACGGATGTCCNTAATATAGTTTCCGAAGCTATCACGGGGCCGAGCAGTATATCGCTGTCGGACATGTTGAGATTGTCGAATAAGACATTCAAGTTCACGGATGTCCGCGGTCATCGCAGAATTAGGAACATTTATATACAGCCACTGCAGCAAACGAGCGCGGCGGGCAGGCGTAGCCTGCTGAAGAAAAGCAACAACTTCAGGCCAAGCACCTGCCGCACCYAACRWCAATAAATGYYGCAGCGTGGTTCGCACTGCTAATTGAGGGCCMGKGCTAATATCAATAGTAAAGGCCCGAGAAGATGAAGGATCAGGAGAAGAAACAGCAGAGCGAGAGGAAACAGCAGAAGAAGGACCAACTTGCCGCCAGTGATCAGGGCGTGGCTGCCGTCGAACAGGCGGTAATCAAGACATAGGAAGGACTGCATTAAAACCCGAAGGATGCAGGGTACGACGCCGTCGAACCCAGAACCCTTCTCGAGGTGAAGCCGCCCGTCGAAAAAGGTCATGATCAATCTCACCATGATTATTAATGTAGAGCACACGATCAATGCGTTCAAGTGGCCAAACAGCAAAATTAAAAGGAGATTGTTGTCGCATAACGTGATAAAGGTGCCGATGACGATAATCGGCAGCAGAGTGTCGCACATGCCAGTGCTCCTTCAAACGTTGATGCGCAGTATGAATTGTCTGGCCAACATACAAACGCCCAGAGGGTATATGCACAACAGCATAAATAACTCCAGTAACAGAAAGGGGATCATTACCTGGTTGGAGGAGCTGCTGGTCAATACCTCTCAACTGCAGTTCAAAGCGCTCAGTTGCGATGGCAGCATCTAGCTGTCGCAACCGCTTCTTATGCCACGTTCCTGCAGAATACAAATCGGTATTCCAGCAAAAGTGGGCAAGCCAGTCAACACGTTGACCGTTAGAGAAACTACGACGGTGTGACCGAAGAGCGGGAAGCGGTGCTGCGCCTGTCGCACCACCAACAGGAAGAATGGAACCCCTGTTCAACACCCTTTCCTGATTCTCAGCTTGTATTGTGCTCATCATGGGTATGGTATTTCTGACAACCAAGAAAAATGTGTGACATGGTCGACAAAAATAAAAAAATAAAAATAAGGAGAAGAAGAAAAGGTGAAGCCACAGTCCAGGGTTTTAGGCCCGTCGGCTCAGCAGGGGTGGGCTGCCGACGTCCCTTGCAAGAGGCACTCGCCACAAAGTCTGCCCAGCAATGGCACAGCTAGTATATAGAATGCCTCCACCTGTGAGTGTGCTCAGGGCAACCACCCTAGACGCCGGGCACAGCAGGACTAGCTATCCTATTAGGAAGGAGTGTCCGACCATCACCGGGGACTCTGTGTACAAGGTTTATGTCAAGGAGAACRTCCTGCAAGGGTGAGATGAGCAGGATACTCCGCACCTGGGTCTGGCACACCTTGGGTGGGGAGCTAACTATACTCACTACGCGGAAGGAAAGGGAAAGAAACCGCGCCCTTACATATATATATATATATATATATATATATATATATACTGCCCGGTAAACCGTAGGCAGAGAGGGAGAAGAGGACAACAAACGAGGGGCTGTGGCAAACTGTTTCGTCGGAGTTTCACAGACTCTATCAGGAGGCTGAACCCTCAACAGTCTGCAGAATCCCCTAACCGATTACACTGTAAGTGATAATCCACCTTAACCCCGGCTATATATATATATATATGTGACAATATATATATATATATATATCCAAATTTCAACATCACATTGAAAAGCAGATACTCGAGAGCTGTCCAGAAAAGCAGAAATGCACCCATATTACACCAAAGGAGACCAAAGCAATGAACTCAATCATCAACGTCAGCCCTCGTGTCGCCACCATCAACAATGTCTCCAATGTGTCTTCTCCTAGCTGGCACTTGCCGCCCCGACTATGAATCACACAGCTCCAACTGGTCTGTCTTATCCCTTGTTTTCAGAAACCACGCAAATGAGCCATAGCGAAATGACGGAAATCCAAATGGCAACATCACATTGAAAGCCAGATAGAAGGGGGGGGGGGGTGCCCTCTGTGTGATCGTAGTCTGGGCGCCGCTAGTGTTGTCGGAATGACGGTGGAAGGCGACGGGATGGGACCTCCATGATGTTACTATTTCCTATTTGACTCCCACCCTGTGGGTCTTTGCTGATTGTCTAAAGGAGACTATGTGCATGTTCCCGTATATGTGCACCCTGCTTTGCCCCCCCCCCCCTCCTTCCAATGTGTCTTCTTCTATCTGGCGCTTGGCACCCAGACGACAATCACACCGCTGTGTCTTATCCCCGGTTTTCAGAAAACACGCAAAGGGTTTCAAACACACGGTTGGACACAGTTATTTTCATATTTTCCTTTCCCATGCAATTGTGGGAACCAGCATGGTCCGGTAATCTTTTCAAGAGATCGGAAAAAAAAAAAAAAAAAAAAAAAAAAACAGTGAAATGATTTAATTGAGCAATAACAAAATGACAGAAATCCAAATTGCAACATCACAGCAAGCCTCGAGGAATGAGCCCTCACGGGGCCCTTATTAGACATGCACATGTTCTGGGAAGAGGCCCACAGCAAGCCCCGTGCCCACCCTAAGTGAAGGCGGGCCGAATATTCACGAGAGGCCCTTAACTCAGCATTTTCCAATCCGGGCCTCAGACAGTTGCTGCGTGACAGTTGGTTGACGAGTAACCTGAGGCCTACCCTGGGCCCGGGTGGTTGAGCCCAGGGCACACGCATTCAGGGGCAGATGCATCACGAGGAGGCCACAGGCAAACAAGAAAGCAGCATTGTCGCCGTATCTACTCCGTGGTCCAGTGCAAGTGCAGCAAACAAACGCAGCCTGGAATGTTCTGAGTGTGCCCAACCGAAAAGGGCCCAGGCCCGCAACTGTAAAGTTGGCCTGGGCGCAGATACTGGGGCCCGACCGGAAGCTACTGGAAGACTCCACGGCCAGGCCCAGCAGACCAGCAGAGGCTGCCACTTTCATATAGGAAGGAGGGCAGCCAGAGCGAGGTAGGCTGGCCAGTGCGTGCATTGCGGACACACTGCTGCCTTAACATGCGAGCGGCTGCACACTGGAGCACTGGGCCAGGGCGCACACGGGCACTGGAGGTGAGGGCGCTGCAAAGGCAGCGGGGCGCTGGCGGCCATAGCCGGGCTGCAGGGCGCGGACAGGTGTAGGGCGACAGGAGGGTCTTCGGGAGGTGGCAGAGATAGAGAGAGAGTGGGTGTCGGGGGTGATGAGGGGAGACGAGAAAAGTACCTGGTGCATGAAGGAGGTCAGCTACGGTGTTGACATCATGTACATTGGTCTTCAAAGTTGAAGTGAGCCTGTTGCGTGAATGCGACTGTAGTAGATAGGCGGGTAGTGTAGGCTGGGCGCTGGACGCCAGACAGAGAGGAGCGACGTTGAATACTGTGTTGGTGTTGCCTGAAGGCTTGAACATTGGCTCACGAGTTCATTGTATTGCTCTTATTTGGACGGAAGCTCGGTGCATTTGTGTTCTCTGCTTGTACATGACTATCTGGACATCTGCGTGATTATGCAACTTGGTTTTCTGTATATCGCTCTCGCTCATATTCCTTGCAGATCAATGTTCTCTCCAGAAAAATGGAAGTGTCTGTAAACTTAGTAGTGCTGTGTAGTATGTACTTATTTTTACCTCAAGCACACTCTCCAGGATGCCCGCAGTGGATGCCTCGAAGACTTCCTCTTGTGATGCATGGTGCAAAATACCATCAAATCTGAGGAAAGATGACCAACCAAACAAATTATTTTATTCACAAATAATGGCAAATTAGTAAATTACAATCCACTTGGTGGATCACATCAAATATGCGGAAAGATGACCAACCAATCTTATTAGCTTATTGCAAGCTAAGTTTAATAAACATATATATATATATATATGGAGTTCGTTGCAAGCTTTGTAGACCTGCTGTGACGGATGGTGTGAACACCACCAAAATCTGTAGGAGACAAGCCAAACAAACAAATTCACGCATTGTAATCAATTTGTGGGTCACATAGATAATACATTTGTCGCATATGGCAATTTCATTGGTGTAAATATAGCATCTACATCTGTGCTAAGATGAGGACTTTGATGCTGGGAGAACAGAATCTCCACAACAACAACATGGAAAGCCCCAAGTACCTCTCTCTCTCTCTCTCTCTCTCTCTCTCTCTCTCTCTCTCTCTCTCTCTCTCTCTCTCTCTCTCTCTCTCTCTCTTTCT